GCAATAAGACTTAGATATTCATAAACTTACATTAACGCAGCCTTGTACTTAATGAGGTCTTTTGGATTAGTGCAGAATCCGAATTCCTCCTCTGCATCGTGTCATTTTCTCTGTGCGATATTAATATCTAAGAGTATTTTAAAGGTAGAAATGGGAAAGAATATACAATATCTTCATATCTCATCAATATAAAACTAAAAAATGACATGTAAGAAATCCATAGCAAAGCTAAAGTTTGGTCGGAATTGAGTAGCAGGCGACATTGGATTTTGAGATATCTTGAAAATGACAAATTTTAGAAGTTTAAAACGCAGGACTCCGTTTTAATTTGAAAAAATAAAAATCGTTTTCTCCGTCTATATTAGCCAACTTATTACCGCCAGAATAATAATAGAACTGTTATAATAACTGTATTGCGCATTTAAATCATTTCTCCATGAAATTCTCTACTTACACTTCGTTGTAATCTAAATCCGTTGGTGCCAAATCGTACCCGAGGACCGGAAAAGAGGTCAATACAATGTTTTCAAAATTATTCATTTAACAATACTTCAATCCGTTATAAAAGATAATAATCTCAAAAGTTGGTTACGAGAAGTCAAAATGTGGAAATAGCAATTAGTTTAGTAGATCAACCTTGTCGGCATCGAACCTTCGGTTCACTACGCCTTTTATTATTATTACAAGCATGGAAGCCTGCAGGCTTGAAAACGCATTCGATGCAACCCTGAACCCAGTGAAAGGAGCAGTCCTACTCCTACATCTGAGGTCGCATTCTCCCAGATCTACGTAATTGTGATGCTTGGTTTTTTTTTTGCAATGATTCAAAATAGCACACATTAGGCAAATTACTAAATTAATTATCGCTTTGTATGCCAAACGTGAATGAGTGAGTAAATCATACAACCGAGCTTAGATCGATACATTTTACTCATTACTGGTTCAGACAAGATGAAATATTTTTTAACATGCAGAAATGCTTAAGCATACGGAATCCTAAGTATTTAACATGTTCTGAACTTTAAGTAGGTGAGATCATGAATATTCTGAATTTTGAATACCTAATACGTGAAACAATGCACAGCGCAGCCGCTTAACTGAAGTGAAATAAAATATTCGCACAAAAGATGATACGAAAAGGTAGGAAACATTAAACTCTCTACGATGTATGTATAGGCTTATGTATCTAATTGATGTAATTTGATATTGTGGATGTTCGGCTGAACAATTAAGCGCTGGAAAGACTGATTAGCAACCAAGGCGTAGATGGCAGAATAAATACGGATTTAGAGAAAAAACCAATGTAGGCATTTAATGGGTTTTGTCTATAAAACTATATTATTATAACTATCAAGTCATTTAAATTTAGTTTCAAATTACTCATAAAGATCATAGATGTTTTTTTTATATCATATTGTTACATGCTTTCTCTTTTGTTAAAATGTAAAAAAGCAATTTTTACCACTTTCAAGCAGATTCATATTATTGAATACTTCGCAGTAGAAAGTCTTTAATATAGAAGAAAATTTATCTTAATTCTTCCAGTTAAAAGTCTTTCGAACAATGGTCGATGCTCCTTTCTATGTATCCAACAAAACACTACATCATGACCTCAACATCCCATTTGTTCTAGATCTTATCCCAGAAAATTTTTCCAAATATCATCAGAACCTTACGTATCATCCAAATCCTCTTGCACAATCACTATCAAGCACCGCCCATCCCTATAATCCTGCAAGAAGGTTGAAACGGCAGTGGCCCTGTGACCTTTTGTAGATTGTATATATTGGAGTTAAGGCAATGGCCAGATTCTTCACTCAAGACATGAGTGTATGTGGCTAAAGTGCTCTCGATCAATCTCTGCTGGCTTTAGTACCAGTGTTACGGTTGAGAGAGTAGCACAGTATTCTCCTGGAGTACAGCTTTTCCATTCATAGTCGGAGGGACAAGCATGCCTCAGAGTTCCCTTGCTTGATTGTAATTAGTGTATATAGGCAAGTGTTTTTTGCTTTGTTTTAATTTTCTTATTTTATTTATTTATTAAATTAATTTTTTTTATTTATTGCATATACCTTTTGATTATTATTTATTGTTATTTTGCTTCTATTTATTTCATATTTTTTTGTAAATATAGTTTGAATATTATCCTACCCGACTATAACTAATGTCCAAGAGACAGATTGAGGTAATACTCAATAAATAGATAAATAAAAACCATAAGAGTATACGGTCACTGCATATTGTTAAGAAAAAAAGGAATTCTTAAAAGAAAATGGGTGGAACTATTCCGGAACCAACTCACTTGGCCAGGATGCAGGTCATAGTTACTATAAATAGTCTAAAATAATCTTGCTTCTCATCCTTGTACTCTTTGAGAAAATTAGAACTAAAATCATAATCTGATATTTTCAAAATCTTAAGATGATACATGGACAAAAAACAGAACAAAGATATACACATATAAATCAAACACAGATAGTACAAATATCTTGTTAATGCATATACATAATGTATATACAAAGTAACCAGGTACATATTAAAAAAATATTGCAAAAATAAACTGAAATAAGGAATATAAGAGTAATAAATAAACAAAATAGAAAGTAAAATAAACTCAAAAACTATCACGGTATAAAAATGATGTTTATTATTTAATACAAAGATATTTAAAAGATTCCTCAGTACATTTTAAAGAATATAAAAATGGATATCTATTGTTTACTAATGCGAGATGTTTATCAACAACATAATCCAACTACTAAATAGAATCAATAAAAGCAGGAGAATGAAATGGAAAATAAAAGCTATAAAGCAACACCATTAATTCCTGGATAACATCAAAAACGTTTTAAAAAAGACCAACAAAATGTTTCTATATAATATGAACGAATTTAGTAGCAAGTCATTGTTTTCACCAATAAACATAAGCTAAATAATTTAAAAAGACTTATTTTGTTTAACAATCAGTAATTATCAGTAGTATCAGTAATTGAAAATTCGTAACAATTTTGTTTAAATCAATTACGAATGATAAATAAGGGAGCATGGCTCTACATTATACAAAAACACTAAAACTCAAATCGTAATTGTTTTATTTAAAATTATTAATAATTATTTAAGTCTAAAAAGTGGATATTAATTTTTAAAATGTGAGGTAATGTGAATGAGGATAAATAAATATATTGTCTAAAATTAAAATGTCATACTAATAAATATTTGCTATAATTGAAACTGTTAATAACATAAATTTATTAAAACATTAAAAAACTCCCAATACCGAAACATAAAATGTAGTAGAATATAATTCCCTTCATTCGAACCAGATTTTCAATAACATAGGATAACACAAAAAATAATAGTTTTGAAGTAATCTTCTTATCGACCAAATGTCCAATTTAAATGGTTATTAATTGACAATTATTCATGTATCATCTATAATATCCTATAATATAGAAAAGATATGAATAATTGTCAATCATAGCCATTTAGATTAGATATTTCATTGATAATACAAGATGTAAACTAATGAAAACCTGTTAGTAGTGTTCATTAACACAATTATAATTATTATCAAAGGGAAGATAGCTGTAGACTCCAGTATTATCAATCAATACACTATAAAAGGCAAATCAATTAAGTAAACTACTTTTAAGAGGATTAATGTAGTACAATATAAATGAAAAATTTAAAAAGTCTTCAAAAGCAAATATTTTCAAATATTCTTACATATCAACATAAACATTTTAAAATAAATTAAAAACTAAAGGCTTTTAAAACGAGATCTAAATCTGTTACTGACCATAAAAATAATTATTTATAAAATATTTTGAATATTCATCACCTACCCCTTTAACATAATTTTAACAGTAACCAATAACTGGTAACATTTTTAATTTTAAATATTTTTTTATCAACTATAATATAAAAATTCAGCCCCTAAATGAAAATCATTAAATACAATCCATAAAAATATAATAATACAATATAATATATACTTCTATACAACCTGAAAAAATTATACAGGATTGAAAATTAATTTAAATCTAGTCATTCAGGTATGTGTCGAAATCAGCAGCAAAATAAGAAAAACTATAAAAAAATCATGTGCATATACCTATGATCTGAAATGTAAGGTAAGAAGGAATAAAAGGGTCACGGGATCTATAAATCAGAAAATAACTATCAAATGTGAGAATGATTTATATAGTCATTACAGCCAGCTGTAAACCCGATGTTCGGGTTTTCTCATAATATTTCGATAGATTGATTAGATACAGAATAGATGGTGAAGCTGATAAGAAATCAGAAATGCGAAGAGGAAAAAAAAAAACACTGAACAAATTAAAACGGATGAAAACCATGAAGTTACAAGATCTAACGTTACGAATAAAAAAGGGAGAAAATATATTTTGGAAATTCAGATTTTTTACTTAAACAGAAAATATAGAACTATGAAAAGTTCAACATTAATATATATATATATATATATAAACAAATCAAATAGGATTTAGAAACATATCTTGCGGATCATTGATCTCGGTAAATAAAGAAATGAAATTGTTCTAAATAAGTGTTTAGTACAAGGATGGTTATAAAACAAAACCAAATATTTATAATATATAAAATACACATGTAACAAAGTAATTTTCAAAGAACATATGCACTAGACTTGTAAACACATGTTTTCTTGTAGTTAATGATAAAAATAAATAAATATATGTCAAAAATTTTATTATAGCAAATTAATGATTATAGAATGAAAAAGTTCTTAAAATAAGCTGCACAAAAATAGAACTAGACTGTTATTGTGATCCTACAGAAAATTCAGACCCAAATATACAGCTGGTAGTCAATTCTGAAAACATAGGGCTGCCTCACAGTCCCAGCTGGGGGAAGGGAATATTTAAAATCTGGTTTCCTATTTTTTCAGCAACACTTACTTAAAGTGCAGAAATTTAACTTTAGTTAAAAATATTAGACAAATAACTAAATATTCTTACCTCCTTTACATGGTGTTCTGTGAGTGCTGTGCTGTGCCCGGTAACCTGTGATCATTTCATAGTTCCCACTATCCCGCCTGACTGGAAAAGCGATCTCTATGATGTGATCACAATGTTGCATTCCCATGAGGATACCTTGCACTTTTTTCCTCTTTTCGTCTTCTGGCATTTTAGCCTTCATCTCTTCAACGAACTTGTCTTCGGCGATTTGGCACGCGCGATGGAAGAAGAATTCTACCATATCGAAAAACCTAGGATTCTCTGCAGTAGGTACATCCTTAAGCTTTTCCGGTATTTCATGAACGTTTCTCTGACTGCTAACATTTTGCAGAGCCGGGTAGGCCGTTTTAAGGAGGGAGCTCATGTCGAGCTTAGCCGGCACGCACTTACCAACTGATTTAATGTTAAACATGGTGCCTGTTGCTGTGAAAATACTTACAATATACTAAGTACGGCTGGCGGTGGATAATGCAAGAGTGATAAAGAGAAACTAAATGTAAACACAGCGCACTAACTCCCTACTCAACGGAACCGCTCTGAGAACAGGCCATCGGTTGAATCAGCTGTTCACTCCCACTTTTCACAGCCTACCCAATCAGTTTCAGCCCGCCAAGTTTGAAACCCCCATGTGTAGTTCTCGTGACTACTTCACTTTATATTTTTAAACATTATAAGCAATCATTATTTACAATCATTTATTTATTTAAAATAGTAATTTTAAATTATTTTTTTACTGATAGTGCTTGTGTAATTATTTTATAACTAAGCCAAAGACTTGCTGGGATTCCGATTTGGTTTCATTTTTGCACATTTTTGAAATTGTTCTTAATCTACTGTTATTAATTTTAAAACGTCCATTCCATCAAATACGGCATATAACATTTAACGAAGAAATATGTACTAATGTACTTTTTCATAATTTTAACAGATTATTTTCATAGAGATTATAAATAAGACGAATGTACAAGATAGCCCCTATGCAATACGAATTTATATTTTGAGTTTCAATACTTATTTTTAGTTACTTTTAAGTGATGTTATATTTACAAACAATGCTTTATGCTTTATTTATATTATTCATAATAATGTGTTAACCATTAAACATACTCAGAGTGAGTAAAATGTCGTTGATACTACCACTGCTGTATTTTAAAGATGTAACTTCCCACAGTTTCTTTAATGTAATTAAAAGTGAGTTAAAACTATCCACTTTAGGTATCTTAGTTTTTTCATGAAAGTATATTGATATAGCGTAAAAGAGGAGTAACAAACAGTCACCTTTATAAACAATACCTCATCTTATTATATATTTTTAAAAAGACACTCTAAGAGCTATCGTATGTAAGTCGACTCCAAGTTGTTAGATTTATACATGTTAGATAAAGAATAGCTACATGAAGCTTACGCACTTTGAACATACAACTAACTTCCTGACATCAGAATTTTTGCCACATACAGATAAAACTTCAGAAAAATCATTTTTAAACCAAGGATTTAACTATGTTTACTATGTTAGATTTCAGAGTAAAGTAGCATATGAAATTGCCGTGGACCGCTCCACAATATGAAAATAATTAATTACGTGGCAGATAATATTTTACCAAAAGCTGACAGCTGCGTTTGTTTCTTAAGTTTGATATAAGTCATGCGAAGGTTTTAATGCAAACCAGTTTTAACATACCAACCCCCATATTAATTTTAAAACCTATAGTATTTGGCGATGAATACGTGAATAGTAGGAATAATACCGCCATCATCAATAACTACAATATTATTTAACGCCGTTAAGATAATCGTTTGATAATATTCTGATTTAGTTGGAAATACGTTTAAAAAGGTATCCGATTCGTATCAATTGTGTGATAGTAGGTCTTAAATGAGAACAGAAAGAATGAGATGTGTTATACGACGTAAATTTTGAAAATTTAAGGCGCGATGAAGTTGATTTGTTTCTTAGAGGATGAAGTTGAGGGAGAAACACACAAAAGTCCAACAAAGGTTTAATTGAAATGAATGATATTCTTGTTTAAATTCTCAGTCAATTGTTGTAGCCACAGGTGGATCTACGGGGGAGGAAGGGCATTCGGGCTGAAGTCCCCAAAAAATTGGTAAAATATAACCATGTCTTAAGGAAAAAATATTAAACAATTATCTCAAAACGAAGGATTTTTCATGTAATTATTGCACCATATTAACACCACTATATTTATATACCATTTCATGCAGGTAGTTTGTTTCTTTATTTTTCTGCCAAAGTAATTATAGTTATATGTAATTTTTAAAAAAGCTTTCAGGCTGAAGGCCTTCCAAAATTAAATCCTGGATTCGTTATTGATTTTAGCAGCTAATTATCGATTTTTATGCATCCTTAGTTATAGGAGAACAAACTGTTTTTTTTTTTTTTTTTGGAATAACACACCATTTTGATATAATTCTAACATTAAACCGCATCATCTATTTACTACCGTACATGTATATAATAACCTGGCCCAATACATTACACATTTTTTGTTTTTTAAATATGTACGTTTGGGCTCTTTCGAACGAATTCCACTAAACTATGAGTCACAAGGAAAAGCAATTTTCCATTTTTTCGTAAATTTAGTTGGAATATTTTACTAAAACAATGTATTTTGTCTAATATTTTTATTCTTTTCATTTTGCGTTAACTCGATTTTTGTTTAAATCTTTAAAGAATGAATTGTATTCATACTGTATTGATTTTCTACCCATCTTACATGAATAGTCCAATTTAATTATATTGAAACCTAAAACAAATGGATTATAAACATTAATATGAGCATTGATCTTTTTGAAAAGTAAAAAAAAAAAAATATCGAGATATTTAAACTATATTTTTTATTAGTATTTTGAGCTGATATTGTTTCAAAACACTTCAGGGATTTAACTGAGTATTTACAGTCGTTAAAGTTAAAAATCGATCATGACATCTGCTCAACAATTGTTACGGGCAATTTAGCAGAGTGATTAAACACACTTAACACAGTAATTTGTCAGAATTTTGAGCTAAAGTTGTTTTAAAACACCTACGGTATCTCACCGAATAATTTATGTTATTAAAACTTAACAATCGATCTAGCCGTTCCAAAAAGCTTTACAAAGCTTTAGGCAAATCGATTAAACATATTTTATTTAACCACGGTGCACTATTTTTTAGCTCAAATTGTTTCAAAACACTCCGAGGATCTTATCAAATTATTTGAGCCATCAAACATAAAAATCAATGTATTTCTTCACTCAAAATATTTATTTCAGGGCTTAAAAGTTGAAATATGAAGATTCAGTTTATACGAAAATCATATTATATAAACGTAAATATATATATTATGTTAACTCTTTCCGGCTGAAATATATTATGTGGAAAATAAGTTTTATTACTTAAATAAATTATATCATATAGTATCAGGGTTAAGAGGCCATACTGCAAAAATGAACTAAGGACTTCAAAACAAGAAAAAAATTTCCTCTGAAGGTATGTTAGTAAACACTTTTTGTAGGAGATATTCACACCTAAACATTTTCGTTGTAATGAATAATTTACGTTATATGAAATAAATAAAACTTATTTATTTGTTCTAACTACTTAATTAATTAAATGTAAACATTAACATTCATATTAAATGCTTAAGTTCAAAGTGATTTCCTTGAGCATTAAGACAGGCTCGGCATCTTTCTTCAACAGCAGCTGTGGCCGAACGGCACTGGATATGTGTTATTGTTCCCAAGATTCAATTATCCTTCTTCTTAAGGTCATTGACCGGATATTTTTCCAGAGATGCTGATATATTGTCAGAGTCCATATTATATTAAGCTCATGTTACTGATGGAAGCATGTCCTAATCTTTCCAGCGAGCTCCGGCGCTCTCGGATTCATTTTGTTTCTCTCCGTTACAACTATTCTTCGTTACGATATCTTATTTCTCCTTTATTTAACAATCATATTCTTTCATATTTTATATTTAACTCTTTTTTATATAAAAAAATAATGTGATATAGTTAACTATTTCAAATAAAAAAAATTAAAGGTACTTTTAGAGAACGCTAATATTGAAAATTAGCCGTTTAAACCCTGTTAGAGAACATGAATGAGAATAAAACCTACATTATAGTTAAAACTAATTAATAATACACTGATGTACCGAGTTTGATCAAAATCGTAAGAACTATTTTCGAGAAAATCGTAAATAAGTGTAACATCGATGATATAAAGCGCCACTTCCGGTGAGCCGATTTTGATGAAAAAGCTGCTGTAACATCTCACTTATATACAAACTTTAAATATGCAATTTCACTGTCATATGACTTTTTGTTTTTGAGCTAGACTTGTCACATACTCTCACAGACACACAGAGCATTTTGCGGGACTTGGTTATTTGGACTTAGGATACCTCAAAATGTGTATTTTCGTTGAAAATTCAGATTCAAAAATTTTCACAATCGCAATACTTTCCCTTACTATCTATATATTACATATATTGGTTAGTGAAAGTAAAAAATATAGGTTATGGTTTTTGACTATAAAAATAGAAATCATAAAATTAATGTATATAAATTTCCTGTAGTATGACCTCTTTAATAACAAAGTTCTTACCTGATTAAAAAATATATATATTTTTTTTCAGTACATGTATCATCGTAATTAATAAAAAAATAACAAGAAAGGCCCCTGAGATGAATATTGTACTCCGAATATGTATTCGGTTTTGCCATGCCATTTTAATAAATGAAATATAATTTTTTTTTTTAAATATTGAGTTGTGATAGAAAAAAGAATGAGCCCGAAAAACAAGGAAAATCATTTTTGGACAAATGTCCTGTTTATTTTTTTGAATATGACGCATTATCCAAAGTTTGCAAGAAGATTAATTCATAAATATTTTGTAAACAGAACTGAAGAAAAACTAGTTTGTGAAAGTTTATCACCAAGATTAATATGACGACAAAACTGGTGAGAAAAAAGAAAAATGATTTAAGTTTAGACCGCAGCGCGACCTCATTTGTTTCAGACGATTTGTGACGGGGAAGAGCTGGTTAAAATTAGGAAACCTCTCACATAGGCTATTGTCGTGTAGTGGCTAGTCAGCATATTTTTTCTTAGTCTTTTTTAACAGCTGTGTAAATATATGTAGAAAGAAATAACTATTTTATTTATTTTAAATAGTGGAATTATGAGATTTTATTTTTGTTCTGTGACACAATGTTGTAATATTCAGTAAATAAATAATAATTTAAAAAAAATGTTTAGTTGAAATAAGCGTGAAAATGTTTATACGTACACAAAAGTAGGTCGGAATTTCATTATTCGTTTCTTTTTTTACCTTAAAGCAAATTGGGTAGAGGGTATACCTTTGAACTTAATACAAATTATATTTTCCGGTATATTTTATTTTAGGATATAACTCGTTTTAAAACAATTTTATAAATTAATTTAATTTTAATAATAATTAATTAGTATTATTAAGCTAATACCTTATATAAAGACACTGAACTTAAATTAAAACACAATTCAATAATTTTATGATATAAACAAAAGATGACTTCAAAATTACTAAATTACATCAGTTCTAAAAAATATAAAAATATACGTATATCTCTGGCATTAAAG